GCCAACGTTTGATCACTAAAATACGATGCCAGAAGTCGACAAGCTGCGGCTCTGGAGCCATATGTGGCTCTCAGATTTCTGTGCTGTGGGTTGTGGAAAATAAGACTGTAATCCAGGTGATTGTGTGTGGGGAAGGGCGCGGAGGGTTCCCTTTAACTCCAGAAGGACTTTATCCTTTGTTATCTTGTCTGCATGTTTCTTATCAAATAAAGACATTTTGAGAATTTCTTTAGAGAAAAACTTTTTGGGGGGAATTTTTCAGAATGTCCTCACATAACATGTCGTTTTGAGGATTTCTTTTAAATAAGTGGGTCAAACATTGGCAGGAATTAAAGAAAAGCAGTTTAATTTCTCACCAGCTGCAGATCGAGTTTTTTTCCTAACACATCTACACAAATACGGTTCAGTTGGGTTTTTACAGAACTGCATTGTAGCCAGAATTTGCATTGTGTGTTTTAGAATATAAAATAATTAAATGAAACGCTTACTGGCCTTGCATTAGCTTCACACAGATAATCAGATGTTAATTTCCTATCCTTATGTCTTTATGGGGATGTTGCTGTAACGTAGGGTTAACAACTCTGGCCATTCCTGCAACATTAAAAGTTCTACAGCAATGACAACATGCAACAGTAGGTTATAGGTCCATTTCCACTTATTAGGCTTTACAACTGTAAATAGTAAATGAAACATGACAAAATGTAAGGACTGCTATCTTTCTGTCTAATCATGGGGAATAATTATCATACACAAATTGGGGGCCATGAAAATTCATTGGCCACAGTGAGTTTGATGAGTTTGACAATGGACATGTATGAAGTAAATTTGGTGATAATGAAAAAGAGAAAAAGAAAAGACAGCAAACAACGTGATCCCTGGTGATTGTGTCAACATTTGCTTGTGATAATGAAATATCATATTTCATTAATGGTATGAATAGCGTCAAACAAGAGGGTCGTCGGCAGTGATATCTGACATTGTGTCAATATCCATCCCATGATTGTCGTAACTTTAATTGCTTTTACTGCTGTATTTAAAATGCTAAAAATAAAATAGATATAAAAACTAAAATAATAATTAAAAAATTTGATGAATATGAATTTTGTCACAAAACAAAATGTTGAAAGTAGCCACACGAAATAATTATTAAAAAAAATTGTCTCAACATAAACACCACATTAGTGAAGGTTGAAGGGTCATGCTATGGAAAAGTTAAAAGTGCATTTGGGGTCAAATTGAATGTCATCTAACAGCTAGGTGGTTTTTCTTCTACAGGAGAATCATGCTGCAATAATAACACAGCATTTTTATCATTGTTAGTGTCAGGTCAGCAGCCCGTGGCCCAAATGGGGCCAGACTGACAACAGGGTGAATGCAGCAAAGACAGCGCACTCAATGATGATGTGTACCTGGCAGTGATGCCTTTACTGTACTAGCTAAGTTAGGATGACTTTAGAGGTTGAAATCTCTGCTATAAACGCTGAAACTGGATGAACAGCTGACCACTGTTAACCATACGCGCAGATGATAAATAAAGTTTCACCACTCACGCCTGTTCTAAACATTTAAACAAAGTCTCTGAATTGAATTTACTATTTATTTTACTCATTTACTTATTTTACCCAAACAATATTTAGCGGCTTAAGGTTTTTTCTGAATATATATATTTCAGGGAGAAAAAAGTAAATATGTAACACTGTTTACTCAAATGTTGGCAGCAGTAAAAAAAATAAACAACAATTGTAATACTCATTTTAAAACTTGACTGACTAACTTGAGGTGGCATCACTCGCCGCTGATCTTGGCTCATCTCATGTCTCATGGTCTCTGTGGCGACCAGCAGCACATTGGCTGACTGGTCAGTGCTTGCATCTGCCTCAGAGGATCTGATTGGTGGGCCGAGGCAGAGAGCCGCTGCCCTCAAAGTCCAAGGTGAGGGACGGCTCCAGTACCACCCCGTCTTTCAGCAGGGTGCTAGTCTGTGTGTTGATGTTGGTGGGGCTCCCGGTGGTGCTGGTCTGCGCCACTTTCGGATTCAGTGTCTTCGGGGAGTGGGGAAGATAACCTTGTGCCTGGAAAATGTCCTCCTCATCTTTGGGCTCCAAGCCCAGACTGAGACCCAAAGAGCCGGGGACCTGGACATGGTCCAGCTCTGTCTCCAGCAGGTTGTCCTGCCGTGTCTCCAGCTCTGTCAGTCCGTTTCCGCTGAACACGTCTCCTTCCATCTCCTCCAGCTGCTGCGTCCACACATCGCTCTGGAGGATGACTTTGTCTCTGCTTGGACCTGCTGATGTTTCCTTCACCGGTGATGCTGACATCACAGACCCCTGAGGTCTGTCACCAACCCTCTCTGGAAGGTCATTGACAACAGAGTCCAGTTTCTTTTCTGTGGTGGGCCTGGGCACAGGTGGAGCTGGTGATAATGTTCTGCCGGGGGCAGGGGTGGTGAGGCGGGCCTCTGTGGACCGGCCCGCCCAGCCGCCGCCGCCGCCGCCC